CCCTCCAGAGCCTCCAGGGGAGGATCCTCCCTGCCTCTCGCAGTTCCTGGTGGCTCCAGGCTTCCCTGGGCTTGTGGCTGCATCACCCCAGTCTCTGCCTCATCACACAGTCGTCTCCTCTTCTCTATGCCTCATTCTTAGGGGAACGCTGGTTAGAGTTTAGGGCCACCTGGGTAGCCCAGGATGACCTTATCTGAGATCCTAACTCAGTCACATCTGCAAAGACCCTTTTCTAAATAAGGTCACATTCAGATTCTGGGGCTTAGGACATGGTCGTATCTTTCGGAGGCACCATCCAGTCCCCTGCAATGCATGATACAAGTGTGATCCATGTCTCTGAAGGGATGGCTGGGGTCTCGTCCAGGCCTAGATGCTTGGGTTCAGGGTCCTAGGGCCTGAGAGGAAGCTGAAGAGCAGGGCGCATCATGAGCATCTGTCAGGGGGAAGTGTCCATCTTAGCAGCTGGAGCGCCGTGGGAGCTTGAGAGGCAGGGGCACTTGACTTCCTCCTTGATTAAACAGACCCCTGTGCCTACTCCACACCTGCTCCCAGGAACTTCGGGCGAGGGCCCCTGTTATCCAGGCCCCACTCTGACCCAGCTTGTCTCTGACCCTTTTCAGTGCGGAAACCACGCTACGTCAGGCGTGAGCGGCCCCCAGACAGGGCCACGGACCCCGCTGCCTTCTCCTCGGTGGAGACCCGCGTCAGCAATGTCTGAGACTCCCACGCACTGCGCAGCAGAGACCTGGAGGCCGCCCCCTTGGAGGGAGTCCAGTATACAAAGGGCCCGTGTTGCCTGGGGCTTGGGACAGGCCAGACAGACGTGGCTCTGGGTCCACACTGAGTGGGAGCCCACTTCACTTTGCAGCCGGAAGGTCCTTCCCACCCAGAGCTGCTTGGTTTAACGGACCAGAAGTAGGCAGTGTGAGACCTGGGAGGCTCAGGAGCTAGGCTGCATGGGATCCAGGCTCCTCAGGAGATGCAGCCAAGATGCAGGTCTTATCCAAATGGCTAGAAATGGTATAGCTTGCAGGAGCTGCCAGCCTGCTAGGTACCTTGAAAAGCCAGGGGGGCTTGGCCACTCTGTCCTTCACAGCCTGTGATGGGCAGGGCCCCCCTTCAGCATCACCAGGCCAAATGGCTCCTGACACCCCTTCTAAGAGGAGTGAAACCAAGGCCTTCAAGGTTCGGCCAGTGCTGGCCAGTGGGGAAGATGTGGCCTGGGAACCAGCCACCCAGACCGGGGCACCTTCAGGGCCATACTGCTAAGGCAGCCAAGACCCCCCACGACGTGCCCACACATTTGCAGGAGCTGCATAATCATTCCCAGTTTCCCATTGCTTCTTTCTGTTTTAAAGCAGAAATTCATTGTGTGGAAAAGTGCTGGCTGGCAGTCATCCTTGGCCCAGGTATGGCAGATCTCTGGCCACCTAGGGACAGACTAGCCAGTGGACACTGGCCCAGAAGGCCAGGCACCTACAATGAATGGCGTGTCTACCTATGGAAGCTTTCACATCTAAATCCTGCAGGTTGCTGGCATCACACGACCTGCAAGGGCTGTACTGGCCGGTGGCCCTTGTCCTGGAGGTCTTGTTCTGGCCACTGGGTATGACTCCTGTGCCTTTCTGGCTTGAGAGGTGGCCAGTGGGTCCTGCAGAGAAAGGAGCTTCGTGACTACCTACATGCTGGGTTCAGCTCAAGAGCCCCAGCTGTGACCAGCACTGGTTCCTTTAATGTCTGGTTCACGCCTGAGGTGCCCGAGGTAGGACCTATGCAGTTGGCCTGACCATCCAGGTCCCTCCACACTTCTCTGCACCCCGATGTCTAGGGCTGGCTGCCTAAGCCTTGGGCCAGCAGGTTTATACAACAGCAGGGCCTGGGGGTGATTTTTTTTTTAAGTTTGCTATAGGGTATGTGTACTTATTAGAGAGAGGCAGAGAGAGAGAGAGAGAAAAATCACTCCCCCAGTGGGGATGGCCACACTGCAGTCTCTTCTATCGGGATTTTGGGCACACCTGCACACACACCTGGTGTGTTTTTCAAGCGACTGGGTCTGAGACTTGAACTACACAGAGAGACATGTTGGATCCAGCCACCTTAACCATCACGCCACTGACTGGCCCTGGGTGTGCTGATGCAAATAAACTGTATCGGGAGCTTTTTTCTTTCTCACCTTCCAGCCTGTTCTAAGTGTGAGTTAAGAGGAGTACAACCCTTCTCTGGGGCCCAGGCCTTACCCCATCACCTAGGGCCTTTGATGGGGACAGGGAGATGAGGAGGGGACAGAGAGAGCCCTTTGGCAAGGTCCAGGACCCTCTACCTATTGCTTGGCCTGGGGACCTGAAAGCTAGGAGCATAGACCTCCAATCTTCTACCAAGGGCCCATTGCCAGGTACAGCCTCACCTTGCCTGGGGACATTATCCCTTGGGGAGGGGACTTGCCCCAGGTTGCTTCGTAGAAGCAGGTCAGCTTCATGGCCCTGACCTCCCCATTAGGACCTTAGATAGGAAAGAGTATGTGTGCCTCTTTGGGGGCTTTTCTGTAAAATGACAAAGTCTTGGGGTGGAAGTCATAACCTTAGACACCTGTTGCCCAGGGATGCCCATCTCAAGATCAGCATCTGGGGAGCTGCTCAGCCTTGGCCTGGGCGCCAGAAGGGTTGAGTCATGAGGCTCTTGCCATGGCAGGGGCTAGAGCTTCCATACCTGGCTCCTGTGAAGAGAATC